ATGGGGGGCAGTATGGGTGTATGGGGGGCAGTGTGTGTGTATGGCGGGCAGTATGGGGGTCAGTGTGGGTGTATGGGGGGCAGTATGGGTGTATGGGGGCAGTTTGTTTGTATGGGGGGCAGTATGAGTGTATGGGGGGCAGTGTGGGTGTATTGGGGGCAGTATGGGTGTATGGGGGGCATTGAATGTTTGTAGAGTGTGTGTGATATAAGGGTAGGGGGGTGTAACGGACCGTTTCAGCACACAAGGGGTTAAAACCGTTTAGGCGATCGTCCCCTTCCAGAGATGCAGGCACAGCTACTGCAGAACACCAATCCGCCGAACAGGAAACCATACGAATGCTGTAAACAGCCGAATAGGAAAAACCATACGAATAGGTTTACACTCCTAGCAGTCGAACTGGAACAGCGTACAATAAATCCCCCCAAGAACAAGACAAAGCTCCGTGTTGAGGGTCAAGTGGTGAACAGACAGAGCTGTGGGTTTATTGTGCTTATGTACACATTCTTATACATTAGTACCACCCACAGGGTTTTGGAACACAACCAATAAACACATACAATACACTCAGACACTCCCACACAAATTCCTCCCCTCTGCATGTGATTCAATTACCTTACACAATGGGTAATGTAATTTAGCACAAGCAGAGAAATACAATTTTTCCACATTATGCATAACTTGAAAAGTATGCATCACATTCACATAAATTTACATTTTACATTTTCAGAATCAGCATACTCCAAATACAAACATACGTCAAAATTATACAAATTGGTCCAGTGGTTCAAAAGATAGATCGTAGTCCTTTGTGACCAAAGGAAGCATGGCTTTTCTGCCCAAAACCAGTTCCACAGAGTCTTCTATCCTGGAGATAATTGGGAAGTAATCCAATTATCTCCAAGTACAGAGGCAAAACTCCATTAAACACATGGCAGCAAAAGACAATAAAACACACAAAAACATATAACTGTGCAGCCATTACACAAAACAGGTACATTCAACATATCCCTAGATAGCTCAGATCTGAGCGCACATTATTACTGAATGGCGCTCAGATTACATACATACAGTTCAATTGCCATGGAGCCAAAGTCTTTCCCATAGTCTTTCATTATACGAATGGGCTCCAGGCATAGCTATCTGGGGTATCACCGCTCAAACAGGGCAAGCACCAAATGACCCGACTTTCATGTCTTTGCAGGGGAAAATCAAGCCTTTTAATATGGGGCAATAATCTAAAGGCAGTTTGATTTATCCACAATATCAACACACGGGCAACCAGGCTTCTCCAATGCAATGTGGCGAGATTGGCCTCGTCACAGGGGGCTTTTTTATATTAGATATATAATTTTAATTAAAATATGTATTTATGTCCCCCCCCTCCCTTCTTACCTTTACTGGGGGGGAGCGGAAACATTTCCCTGGTGGTAAAGTGGGATTCATTGGTGGTCCCAGTGGGGAGAGTGAAGTCTAGCCCACGCTCCAGGGCTAGAGTTCACTCTCGTGAGATTTGGAGCATTGCCGTGGTAACCGTGGCAAAGCTCCAAATCTGGTGAGAGGAGGACCCGGAGGAGCTGCAGCCTGAGCTCCGGGTCCTCTCTCCTCCCTCTCTCCCTCCCCCGCCAGCTGTAAGCACTGTGCCTGCGCACTAGGGAGGGAGATCTGTGATCTCCCCTCCGGTCCGCAGGCACAATGCTGGGCTGGCATTAGAGGAAGACCATCTGTATTCTCGGGGGGGGGCACTGCCCCCTTATTGGTATATAGGGCCCCCACCCACTGCTCAGGTCAATAGATCCCCCCTTTAGTTTAAAAGACCCCACTCGCGTGTCACGCGTGGGGGCTCAGGAGGGGGGAATTATTATTTTTTTTAACAGTGAGCAGCCACAGCCTATAGAGGCTGGGTCACTTGCTGCACTTGCCAATCACAGCCATGCTATTAGTAGGCATGGCTGTGATGGCTTCTAAGGGCACACGAGTCAAACACTTGTTGATTGGCTGCCCTGCAGCCTTTCAAAATGCATCATTAAATCGCCAAACGCCGAACTCCAACCCGAACATACAGTGATATGTCCGTGTTCGGGTCTGGAATCCAAAAAACGTAATGTTCAGTACGAACCCAAACTTTTCAGTTCGTGTTCACTCAACTCTAAATAAGACCATTCAAATGGCAATAGAATATGGTATCAAAGAATTTGTTATCATAACTATGTTCGCAACAGTTTTGTTCAATATCTGCCTAGCTGGGAACGTAACCAAATGATGAAAAGCAATAACAAACCTGTTAAACATGGGAAATTGTTTTGTAAAATCGATGAGCTGGTTAAGGAAAATGGTTTAACCATATATTGGAAGAAAACCAAAGGCCATTCTAAAATAGAAGGTATTGACAAGGATGGTAATGACTTAGCTGATTCACTGGCAAAACAAGCTGCCATCAATGGTGAAACCCTAAACATTGATGATCTTATGGGTTCAATTCATGTTGAAGCCATAACTAGACGACAGGCTAGAGATAATGCCGACTTAAATGTTGTGCAATGGAGTCAAGAAGCTCCTAGTGAGGACCTGATTACTAGTCAAAAGAACGATCCCGTCATAGGCATATTCTATAAACATATAGAAGACCCTACTGCCAATCCCATCACAGATGAGGATTGCAAAGATAATGAAGATTTACAAATCTTGATGAGATATAAAGTCCAATTTAGTATCATGGATGGGTTGCTTGTCAGAACTTCTAAACATGGTATACAACAATGGGTAGTCCCAACTGTATACAGAGGGTTAATGCTCCAACATGCACATGATGCACCTACATCTGGGCATCGTGGTGATAAGATCACATATGAGATATTGCGTGATTATGCATATTGGCCACACATGTTAAGGGATGTTAAGACATACTGTCAGGGATGCTTGATTTGTCCGCAATATCAACCCCATGGTCCAACCCATTGTGCACCACTTCAGAAGAGGGGGGTGTCATTACCCTGGTCTGATATTCAAATTGACTTTATAGGTCCTGTAACAAGATCTTCAAGAGGTAACAAATACATGTTAACCGTTATATGTATGTACACAAAGTGGATAGAATGTTTGCCTTGTAAAGAGAACACGAGTACCGTGTGCGCCACTTTGTTGATTAACCATGTCTTTTCCAGGTTCGGTCTGCCTCAAAGAATTGAGTCAGACAGAGGTAGTCATTTTACCAGCGAAGTAATGGCTAAGATGTGGAACATTCTAGGTGTTAAACGAAAGCTACATATTGCATACCACGCTGCGTCTAGCGGGGGGGTAGAGCGATATAACCAGTCTATCGTTAATATTCTGAAGAAATATGTTAAGGAGTCTGGTAAAGACTGGGACATTAAATTGCCCCTAGTTTTAATGGCGATTAGAGCTACACCTAGCACTGCTACCAAATTGTCACCTTTTGAATTGATGACAGGAAGAAAGATGGTTTTACCACAGCATTTACTATATCGTACTTCAGATCATAACTTGATCAATGCTGCCACTACACATCAGTACATTGAAACTTACAGCATGTGTCTGTTTTTGCCCAAAATAATCTAGAAAAAGCAGCGACAGGGGTTACGATTTAAAAACCACGAAAAAGGAATTTGAGATCAAGTATATCTGTATCAAGTTAAGGAAAATACATTTTTACCTTCTTGGAAAGGGCCATATGTCATAATTGTCAAAATTTCCACAGTAGCGTACAAGATAAAAATTCCTAAGGATGGAGATTTTCTTGAAAAGTGGGTTCACATTAACCAATTGCGTGTTTGTCATCCTAAATTTCAATTAAGGATTATAGGTGTGGATTCGGACGCAGAAGAGTGAATGACTAACCTGGATGAATGCTTGATTCATGCGGTATCATATGATGTGAAATGTTGTGATGTGCCATGATCTCATGTACGTTCATGTCATTAACCATTTCCTTGCCATCCAATAACTACATTTTCTAAGCAGGTTACTAGCTTGTTTAGCTGCTATAGGTGTATTACTGAGGAGTCAGTAATAAATGTAGTGAGGAGTGAAATTATAAAAATATAATTAGACAGAATACATAACATTGATGAATCGTAAATAATGTGTTGTCCTAGGCCAAGTGATGTCACATTGTTATACGTTTGTATGCTTAACAATCCTTGAATCATTAGTAGATAAGTCTGAGACGAGTTCCTGATCCGTGACTGTCGAAGGATGTTGCGTGTTTCTGGATTGTACTGGATTGTAGAGCTACGGACCAATCCGATCGCAGAGATGGGATCATCCTCCGGTATCCTGATTCAAGAGACACCAGGGTTCATCTTGCCAGAGAAGAGGATCCTGACCCAACATGTGTTCGTCAGCTTGGACCCAAGATTTCCATCAAGAAGGTGTACAACATTTCATCGATGCAGCTTCCTAAGTTACAAACATGGTACCAGATGCACCTCCAAAGAGCACAGGACCGTGTGCAAAACATCTTGGAGCAAGCTCGGAAACCCTTGGTATCCAGTACTATTTCAATGAGAAACCGACCCAAAAGGTTCCTCACTGCTATAATTGTTGCATTAGTTTGTGCCACTGTTGGTGCAGTTGTCGCAACTGGAATGTCTGCAGCCAACTCTATTACTGTCCAAAAGCTGGATATGGAAATCTAAGCATCACATTAACGATATTCATCAGGTGATAAAACAGCAAAGAACACTTCTCCAGGACATGTTAACTATTGTGGAAGACACAGTTGTTAAAACAGCATTCGGAGTTAATTGCCAAGTCCACTGAGTTGCACCAAAGTCATGACTTGTTTAATCATGAACTTCTATTTCTGAATGACCCAATATTGTTCCACACACTTGCTTTTCTTGACGAAGTACAAACCGGAATGATTGAATTGGCAGGGGGACGCATACCTCTGTATTTTGTATCCAAGGATATTGTTCATGCAATGCTTGCCAGTATGGATGGAGAGACAATTGAGCCTGTAACAACAAACCCAGTATGACTGCAAAAGACAAATGGATTATACAGCCGTTCGGTATTTTTGTAAGCATTCACCATGCCACCCTTAACAGGCCACCCTGACTGCTAATTATGACCAATTTACCTCCCTGGTTGATGGGCACTTTATTCGAATCAACCGCACGACCGCTATGGGAACTGTAAGCTCAGCCGCCATTTCGGGACTTACACGTGTTCACGGCCATTTTAACTCCCGAACAGCGGTGTTTGCCGATGAATGTCTGGAACTAAAATCAGACACTCAAACAGGCGAACACCGCTGAGACCTCCATACCTTCAGGAAAACATCACCAAACCTACCGAACAACTGGGCGTTCGGTAGAAAGAATTAACAGCAGATGGGGATTTCAGCGAACCCAGGATGGTATACGGATGGCCGGCCGTTCGGGAGTTTTTATCCACGTTCTTAGACCGACTGCAGGGCCAGCATTCATGGAACTGTTTTCGGCTACAGTGCCCGTGCGGTCGGTCAAAACTTCTAAGTCCTATATCTCCCGAACGGCTGAACCGATTGAGCTGATTTTTTCATATGTTGGTACCTGAAATATAATACAAGTATTTGGGGTACATCCAAACTTTGGGGAAAAACTGTTCTTTTTTAATTATGGTATGTAGTTATCTGAGGGGAGGGAATTTACCGAATGTATATTGTATGGATTGGTTGTACTGCTAATTATGTGGGTGTCATTAAACCTCAGTTCTTCTTGACCCTTCAAAACGTAGCCTCGTCTCGTTCTTGAAAGGGGAATTTCTGCAGCTTAATCACTTAGCTCTTTTCAGAGCTGCACCTGGCTTCCACTCTTGTTCCAGCAGAAGGGAATAGGCGACTCCATCACTACACAGCGACTGCCGGGAATAAAAGGACGTCCCTAACGGCTGGTACCCTCTCTACACCAGGGTAGCCGTTACAGAGCCTATGCAATTAAATCTGGCATTTGCGTATGTAACTCCCAAAAACATTTTTCAAATGAAAACAATTTACAATGTCGGTACATGGAAGGAAGATAGCCACGTAAAAGTACAAACCCCAAATGTTTTGGCTTTTCAACCATGGGTACTAGATTGGTATTCGATACCCATTTTGAATGACTGTGAAAAATTCAAAGACAATAATTTCCAGTGTGATGGAAAACCTTTCGTGTACGATTCTACCAATGCATTGTGTGGGATCGAGTACATTAAACATGGCTCTGAAACATGTCAAGTGACTATGTCCAAAACTGACAGTAATGATTTGGTACATGCTATTTTAGTAAAAGATAAATGGTTGGTTAGCACGTGTCTTAAAAACATGAGTGTTTTTCGCAGGGACCAGCTGACTAATAAAGTATTTGTCTTACCAGCACCTGTCTCACTGATCAAGGTTCCCTACGACTCTCCTATCACCATCGGTGACGTTATGCTATACCCAGTGTACACTGACGTCATTGAAAGTGTTATTGAGATGGTAGATCCCTTCCAGAATCTAGATATCTCTCTAGATCCTAATCTAAAATCCTTGCTAGAGCCCAACCACACTATCCAAATGTCAATCAGAAAAGATAACATTTCGGTGGACACATTTAAATACTCTGAGCCAGATACTGACCTAATTGCTCGTGTTGACTGGTTCATCCATGTTAAAATTGTTATTGGGTTTACAATAAAAATAATGATATTATGGTTGATTGTACTAAGTGTAAAATTCAAAGCTCTTACAGGTACACAAATATACGAAAATGTTCATTACACGCACAGGCGTATGACAGAAGCAGTGATGTGAGTGCACAATATGTCTTGTAACTTCTGTAGTGCTTATTCATAGACTAAATTAATCATTGCTATGTTAATCACTAAGGAGGGTTATGTCAGTACATTCATATCAGCAGACTTGTGCTAAGACAGAAATTAATAGTGTAAATTGCCAGTCACACTCTTAGCAGAGCTGACTCCATTTTGGATTTTCAGGCAAGAACAACACAGAATGTCTTTCTATCTGTAACTCTAGTCATTCAAGCCTGAGCTAAGGAATGCGTTATGTAAACAAGACAAGTGATAAAGCAATGCAGTCTCACAGAAAGAAGGGGGATGGAATATCATATTATTTCATAAATGTTAGTGGAATAGAAAAATAATCTTACACATAGCTTCAAACAAGAAAGCCAGACACTGTATAATTAATTTTACTTTCTAAATCTTACAAAGTCCCATTGTAAGCAAGAGATACAGGAGAGTTTAGACATGTCAGAAAGTAGATTTAAAGGTATATGTCCAACACGAAGTCTGGGGAAAACCTTTGAAGCTGACAGCAAATTTGAGTTATAGTGGCCATTATAGTTAAGCCAAATGACGTTGAAATCATCATCATTTTTGGTTAACCCTTTCCAGGACAAGAAATTTTGGTGATGTAATTGCGCCATCTATTGACCAAAAACTAGATAATACTAGATAAGGTAGACACACCTCCAGGTCCCTATTCGTCCGATCAACTAATGACGTGCAGAGAGTTTGGCCCTTTAAAAAGTAAAAACAAAGGGAAAATAGGGGGATTCAGGACACACATTGAAAAGACACCCTGGGACTGACACTCAAATCTGACATTCAAAGACTTATACTCTTTGATCACATTCAAACTCTCTTGAAACAACTTAAGAAACTATTTCCTGGACACCTATTACTTTCTAACCGACACCACTTTTCTATTACATACAATCCTATATACATCATTCATACTTGCATTAAATTTCCTGGGACTATCTATTCATCTGATAAGAACTTCTACGACATAACTGGTAATTATGCTGGTTTTATTTAATTAATTTAAATTAATTAAATTTTTTACTTATAGCAGGAATATATCTCGGTCAGATTTCAATTATTAGAAATCTTAGTTAACTAAAGAATATATGGTTATCAAAATTCAATTAATGCAAGTGGAATAGAGATAATGAGATATTAATGATAAATTTGTCACAAGTTAGCATACCGATGTTTTTATCCAGATGTATTGATTTGCTCTGAAATAAGATAGTGCATCTTATGTGAGGAAATTAAAATTCAGCTAATGTAAAATCTGGTAGATTATTCTTATTGGATGGTTAATTTTAGCCAAGGTTTTATTGCTTCTCACTGCGCTGTGAGTTCTGTGTGAGGTTTCGCTTTCTATATCTGTGAGATTACTAAATTATCATAAATTTTGCTAAGTTCTTGACAATTGGATTGCTTGTAGCTGCTATATTGTGTTTAAACCATTGCCATACTTTGTATACCTATGTTGTACTAAATATTCACTGATTATTATCATGCATGTTACAGATTATTATTATATTATTATTATTGTCACAATACATTATATTTTTATAAAGAAATTGTGATTTACTGTGTGGAGTAAAAATCATCATAATGAACATTCTCTAGGATCTAAGAGAATTAAATATAGTGGGTAATTTTCAATATAAATTTTGATATAATAAAAATTATTAAATTGATTTTTGATAATTTTTATGAAAATATTATTTTAATATCATCCCATAAATATCCCTACAGGACCAGGGGTTTCAGAGTCAGTCTGAGACTGTAATAATCTGAATAGTTCAGCCTACCTAGCCATGGCAGGGTAGGCAACATTCCTCTTCTTTAATTTATCCATGATCTTCAGGATAGTCCATGATTTTAATGAACTAGGACTCGCTGACTCCCCTTGCCTGGAAGGGGAATCGTTCCTGGCCGGGGTACTAGGAAAAGACAGGTCGTCACCTTGCATTGACTCGTTTGACATTCTAGTAGGAAGAATAGACAACGTGTAACCAACGCTGGACCACTGATTATGACAGCGAAGCCCTGAATGATGTTGTGACGAAGTGCCCTTCGCCACTTTGTCCTGGAGATGCCTGCTTGCCTGCCTCCTGCCCTGCAACTATGGCCCTGGAATGTATTGTCATTCTAGGAACTGATGTGGGCATGCTGGAGGCCTATATTGCTGTTCCTGGCCCTTTAATGCTCAAAGAAAGGATGTTGTACTTTTAAACTGGCACTTCGGATTCAGTCGAAGTGTTGAAGCTGTCGAAGTGGTTGAAGTGGCCACAATTCGAATACCGAACACGTGGCGGTGGTCATTTTAAGTCATTCGAACGAGGTCAGCGGTATGTCTAGCCAAACCCATGGAACTGAAATCAGCTACACATTTCAACAAACACTGCTGACCCTTACCTACTCCTACACTGAGTTTTCAGCCACAAGATTCGAACCCACGTTCAAATGGGACTTAGTCATTTTTACAGTGTGAAATTGACCGACCGCACAGCCCAAATCTATGGAACTGTTTTGGGCAGGAAAATGTGCGTGCGGTCGGTCACAAAGGACTTCCGACTAACTTTTGAACTAATAGAAGGTTCTGCATGATTTTTGAGTGTGTTCATATTTCAAGGATGCTGATTAATAATATGTGTTTTTTTATGAAGATTGGATGTGTGGTTTTAAAGTTACAGGACATGTATAAAAACTGTATTTTTCTGGCTTGTGATAATTATGTTAAGCATTGTGTGCCATAATTAGATCACAGGCAGAGGGGAGGATTTTTGTGGGTAATTACTGGGAGTGTTTTCTTTAATGTACGTGTGTTATTGGTTGTTCTGTAAAACCTTGTGGGTGGTCCTATGTA